TGTCCTGTCCAGGGTGTGTGAGTGTGTGTGTGTCCTGTGATGGACTGCTGTCCTGTCCAGGGTGAGCCCTGCCTTGTGCCTGTTGCTTGCTGGGATGGACTCCAGCTCCCCTGTGACCCTGGACTGGAGAGAGCTGTCAGAGGAGACAAAGTCAACACTCTGCTGCATCAGGAATCGGGATCACCACCTCTGCAAACGACTGCTGATCCACAGCTTGACAGCCTGACCGCTATTCAGTGTCACTGCCAGGACCAGATCTCGGTTTCCCCGTCTTCAGAACGCGAACGGAATCGCCCTCTGGGGCCCACGCGCGCTGAGACACACCCACGCCCCAGCTCTGCCGTGTTTCTGTCAGGAGTGGGGGCGGAACGAGGGACCGGGCCAGGCCGGGGGGGTACTCACAGAGCAGGAGCAGAGCAGTTCCAAGGTTGAGGTCTCCCATCTGGGACGGGGGACGGGGCTGATCAGACAGCTGTGAAAGAACGGGTCCCCTTGAGAACGCTGGTCGTGAGACAGGTCTGCGTGTGCGCGCGCGTGTGTGTGTGTGAGAGAGTGTGAGAGAGTGTCTTGAGGACTGGAAAACGAAAAGAGGCTAATGAGATGAGTCTGTTACATCAGTCCGTCAAAAAGCCCTCCCCCTCCTTTAAAAGCAATTTTCGCACAGAGTGCACTTCTAGAAGATGTGTCGCTTACCGGAAAAAAACAAAAAAACAATTGCATCTTAGTGAAGGTGTTAGTTGTGTATAATTCTAATGACCAGAACAAACTGCATTTTTAAATAAATGTGTAGTATATATACTCTATATATGAGTATGTACTATATATACTGTAGTACTGTACATGTGTGTACTATGATATGGAACTATAATGGCAGAAAATGAACAGGTGGAAACATACCACATGAAAAACTGTTTTTCATGTCCCTGCTTCTGAGCTAATTGTGTTCGGGTTTATTGTTTTTATTGATTTGTAATTGTTATATTCGCTGTTTTCCAATAGAAGGGACAGGGGAGATTTAGGTCCTGCAGGAATTAAACGATTCTGCTACCCAGGGGCCCAAGACTACTCTGAAGGATACATTAACATTTAAAATGTTAAATCTCTCTGCTTATGGGTGTCGCCGGGGGGGCGGGCGAGACAGTACCTGTCGTGAACGCTAGGTGGAGGGTGTGCAGATCCACTGCGTGTCAGCGTCTGCGACGCGCTGTAAGGAAAACGACGGATTAGTTTGCAGATGTTTTATGAGGAAATGCGTCTTTGGGAATTCACACAACAGTGCCTCTGTTCAGTGTTTGCACATTTGCCGATTATACGTTGACTTTCAGCAATGTTCGTGTTGATCTACCGCGGATATAGACACCTCTGAAGCTTGCAGAAGAAACGCGTATGCATTTCTGATCCACTGTACCGGTAAGAAAGACAAGGTTCAGATCTCAGAATAACTCTCGTTGGTGTTATTCCTTAAGGTACAGTTTAGGTGATGGACATAAACACAATCCAGTACGCGGAATGTACAGTTTAACCGGAATGTAGTCTAGCTTTCCACATATACTATGTAAATAGTTTTAAAAAAATCTCTTATCAGATGTGGGTTTGAAAGAGGAGCGCACAGACACACTTGAAGAGCTTTTCCGGAGCTTCAGTTAATATGTATTTGAACTAACTATTAAGTTTGATTTCCTTTTTTTTTTAAAGTCCGATTGTTTTACAGATTTTCCTTTTTTGATTTCTGTCAAATACTGTGTTAGCTATGGACCTACTGTAAATGGTCTCAGTGTCCACTGTGTCCAGGTCTGTACAGTGACTGGACTGGTCTCTGAGTGTCCACTGTGTCCAGGTCTGTACAGTGACTGGACTGGTCTCAGTGTCCGCTGTGTCCAGATCTGTACAGTGACTGGACTGATCTCTCAGTGTCCACTGAGTCCTGGTCTGTAACCCCACTGACTGGACTGATCTCTCAGTGTCCACTGAGTCCAGACCTGTAACCCCACTGAATGGACTGGTCTCAGTGTCCACTGTGTCCAGGCCTGTACAGTGACTAGACTGGTCTCAGTGTCCACTGTGTCCAGGTCTGTACAGTGATTGGACTGGTCTCAGTGACAGAGACAGTGTCCACTGTGTCTCAGGTCCTACAGGTTTGAAGACTGTGGAAACTGAGACCAGTCCAGTCAGTGAAGTTACAGGCCTGGACTCAGTGGACACTGAGACCAGTCCAGTCAGTGAGGTTACAGGCCTGGACACAGTGGACACTGAGACCAGTCCAGTCACTGTACAGAACTGGACTAAGTGGACACTGAGAGACCAGTCCAGTCAGTGGGGGGTGAACTGGCCTCAGCCTCAGCAGTGACCGCAGTGACAGTTGAACCGCCCACCCCCGTCAACTAAAACCAAAAAAAAACAAAAAAACAACCCAGTTCTCTTAGCTCAGCAGTGTCACCAGCTTTCAGTTCGCGTTTCTCCCACCCTGCTCGACAGCGGCTCAAATGGCGACGCTTTACATAAAGGCTTCTCTCTTCTTCCTCAGCTGTGAGTACCCATAGCTTCGGCTTCTGTTGTGATCTTCCAGCTGTTAAATGTTGTGCTTTGCCAGACAGAGATCTTGCTTTTGCCTTGTGAAGTGGGACAGTAGTGGTTGGGGGCTTTTCTTTTTGGTTCGATTTGTTTGAAAACCCTGACCTGGGATCCCTTCAAGCTCACAGCTTGCCCAGCTGAAGTTCCCCTCCTTTTACTGGCAGAACAAAACAAAAAAAATTAAGTTGCTTTCTGTTGTTCTGGTACCGATTGTGATTGATCCATGGCTCTGGGCAAGTGGCGTGTGGTACTTTGGTAGCTGCATTCGAGGAACTGAATTATTTTGAGGAGTAAAGAACTGAGCTTGGAGGTACAGGAGGCTCTGCTGTACACAGAGGGGGGTGGGGGTGGGGAACAAGCCGCCCAGCCCTGTGGTTGAAGCCGATACCCCGGCTTCTCTCCAGACACAGCTGGGTGAGCTCCTCCAGTCAGGACAGGAGGCTCTACTGGACACAGAGAACGCATGACATCGTCAGATCAATTAGCTTTTAACTACTAAACTGGCTAGACGCACCAAATGGTTCCTCTCCTTTGTGATCATTGCAGTATTGATCTCGTATTATTATTAACGAGGCTTGGTCATTAACGAGCTCTTATCACTTACAGTATGAGATGAGACTGACCTGAATACTCGAATCATGCAGCCCCACAGTTAAGAGAATTTTCTTGAAACCAAAACCTGATTTTGTTGTCTGAATTCTTTAATTCTATACCTGCCGCAAATGCCTTGCAAGGCCCTAGGCAGGGACCAGTGAAAAGCTAAGAAGCCTTTTTCTTTTTGTGAAGTTTCCAAAGCTTGTCATGCACCGTGGTGGCAAAGAGATGCCGTGAGAGACATCGACATCTTTATCTCCTGCTTATGCGATTAAAATTGTGTCTGTAATGCACATAAACCACTTGATACGCCGTAGATTAATTAAAAATGTCAGAAAAGGTGGAGAAAAGGCCCTAGATTTTCCGTCACAGGATAGTAATGGATTTTCTGACATCAACACTGGATGTTTTATGTAAATATTTTAGGCCGGTCAGGTAGTTTACAGGTATTTGCTCATTGACTCCGGGATTGATAATTCCCCTCTTCCGAAGCTGAATTTCAGGTCAGGCGCCGTGTCTGTCTTGGGATTGTGTGAGATAATACAACGTCATTTTCCTTTTTCCTTATATCGTCTCTGCAGGCGCTGGAGCGTGGGGCTGCAGTGTCTCTGGAGAAACCGTGCTGAGAGTCGGACTCGGGGACACCGTCACCCTGCCCTGTGACCTCAGACTCCAACACGAGACCACCTGGTTCATGCTTCGGAACGGGACCCTGTCTGTGGGGGTTTTAGCCAATAAAAACCCAGGACAAATCCAGATGCGCCCCTTCAGCTACGTGAGGAGACCGGACTCTCGCTTCAGCCTGGTGCTGAACCCCTCCACTAACTCCTCCAGTCTGAGGATTGAGGGGGTCACAGAGACAGACCAGGGGCTGTACTATTGCGCCACCAGAGACAGAGGAGAGATTCACATCGGAAAAGGCACCAGGATCCATGTGGGTGATAGAAATAGAGGTGAGAACAGACCCTTTCTACCTATTTGCTACGGAGGCAGGAACCTTTGCACATTTCAGGCCATGCAGTAGCCTGTATATACAGGGCCTTGTAATAGTGTTCAGCCCCTTGACCAATTCTCTCATTTGACTGAATTACACACCCCGCCTTCTCTGCGATATTTCTAAGCACTGAAACTCGACATGAATTATTTTAATGTGACGTTGTTTGACGTTAGAAAGTATTCTCAAGGCAAATAAAAAGCTGAAATACGCTGCCAAGGGGGTCTGAACACTTGTGCAAGGCACTGTAGAGGGGAAAATAATGAGAACATTAATGACTGAACAACGGCCTTTTTTTTATAAGTCAGTGTTACGCAATTAAAAAAAAATAGGATGCATTATTATATCCAACCATTATCCCTCTGACTGGTATAATTCTTAGAATTATTATCAAAGGCTGAATGTCAGAACATCACCAGACCGTCTGGAATCGACTGGCCATGCCTGACCATCCTGGTCGTGACTCCCCCTCTGTCCACCCTGCTGACATCATGCTGCATCTTCTGTCTCTTTTACAGACCAGGTATGTCACTGTATGCAATACTTCAGATACCTGCATCTAGACTGAGGGCAGAGCACAGCAGGAGTGAGAGCAGACAGTGAGAGATCAGTGTGAGACAGTGAGAGTGAGATCAGTGTGAGACAGTGAGAGTGAGATCAGTGTGAGACACTGACACTGACACTGACAGGGAGAGTGAGATCAGTGTGAGACACTGA